GAGTGATGATGTAGGGTTCGAACCGTTTTGGGGAGCAGCGGGGTGAGGGCAGGCAGACGGACTGTGCTGTGGGGCTGGCGAGATGCTCTGGGCATGTGGGTTTCTGTGGGGCTGTGCTTCGTCCCTGGGGAAGCCAGGGGGCCCGCAGGGCTCAGCCCCTTTGTGGGGATGCTGTGGCTCAGCCCTCTCTGCTCCCGGAAATCTTAAGTGTGGATTTGGGGGCTCTCAGCACCCACACAAGGCACTGGCTCCATTGGGGCACTCAGGAAGGGTGCAACACCTTTCCAGGGGCCGCTGCTGACCCCACGGCACCCTGGTTATCGCTCCCCCATGTAAGGAGCCGGGGCTGGAAAAGGAGATCTGGTGTGTGCCAGGGCAGAGCTGGGAAGCGTGGAGGAGGTTTGCAAGGAGACAGATTCCTCCCAGTCCTTTCCCAGTGCCTGTCCCCATCCCTCCCCTCCATGGTGGCAGGGGAGGTCCCACATCCCACTGGACCTGGGATGCAGGATAGGTGCTGGGACCGGCTGCGGGCCAGGGCTCTGCTCTCTCCTCTTCAGGGACGAACACCACTGCTGTGCTGCTGTCTGTCTGCAGAGTTGTGACCGTCTCATCCCCTCAGTGTCCCCATGGGTATTTTGAGCTGCATAAAGTACCTGATGTTCATCTTCAACGTGCTGGTGTTTGTGAGTCCACCGGGGCCCGGTGGGATGGGTGGAGGGAAGCAGGCACCGTGCCGTGCCTGGAGCCAGAGATGGCTGATCCCACCTGAGGGGAGCCGGTGCACGACACTCTGGTGTCTGTCAGGCTCAGGGATGGGTGGCGCCAGTCCAAGGGAGGTGACCCCAGGAGATGTTAGAGCATCCCCAGTCCCCTGTGGGGTAGCCGGGGCTGGTCCCTGCTCCCCGTGACCGTGGCGTGTCCTGCAGGCTGGGGGGACGTGCCTGTCAGGTGTGGGGGTCTGGGTGGCTGTGGACCCGGCTGGTTTCCAGGACATCGTGGCCACCAAGGCCGTGCTGAGTGCAGGCGCCTACCTTCTGCTGGCCGTGGGCATCGCCCTCTCGCTTCTGGGCTTCCTGGGCTGCTTCGGGGCCCTTCGCCAGAGCCGGCTGCTGCTGCTGGTGGTGAGTGAGGGGAGTTGCTTGGGAAGGGAAGGGCGGGGGGCAGGGAGCCAGGCGGGCAGGGTGCCGCTGGACGTAGGGTGTTACGGGATGCAGGGATCCAGGGGATACGGGGTGTTGTAGGATGCAGGAAGTCGCAGGACTCAGGGCAGCCCCACATGAGCCAGGAGCCTGGTGACCCCCAGCCTGGCCCCATCGTACTCCAATCCAGCCCCCACCTTGTGAGACTTGGAATTTAAAACCCAGGGGATTTTATAAAGCCACTCGTTGGGTTCATTTCTCTCTGAAGCTGCTGGCTTGCCCCATGCAGTGTCCGAGCTTTTCACCTTGATGGTGAGGGCTAGAAACCCCTTTCTGAGGCAGGCGCCACAATTTCTTTGGTGTCCCCTGACTCTGGCAGCTGGCGCTCGTTTTTAAAGCTTAGCCTTGCAGCTGTGGTGCTGAGACATGCATCTGTCCCCACAAACTGCACACTGGTCCCTGCTCCCTTTGCTGGTCTCAAAGGCACCGGGGAGGCACACAGGCAAGGATGGCTGCAGAGGCGGAGAGGAACAGCCGGAGCGAGCCGTCCTTGGGGTCGGGCTGGTTTCTGACCCCTCCGTCTTGCTGCCTTCCAGTTCTTCATCCTCGTGAGCCTCGTCTTCGTCACGCAGCTTGTGGGGGCTGTCCTCTTCCTGGTGCACTGGAAACAGGTACCATGCCCTTACCCTGCTGTGGTGCCCGGCATGGCCAGCCCCATTCCTCCCTGCATTAGGCCATGGGGCATGGTCCTGAGCCCGCCAGGAACTGGCCAGGGACTGGGACCAGTGCAGGGATGTCCTGCCTCGCCCTCAACTTCATCACTAGCACCCTGATGCAAGCCTGAGCCTGGCTGGCCCAGCCTTATGGAGGGGATGGATCCCTGTGTCCCCTTGGAGAGGTGACTCCCTGCCTGGTGCAGCGCTGGTCAGGGGTGGGTGAGGGCAGGTGCGCGGCCCCCTGTGGCCCCCGTCTCTGGCGCTGGTCCCATGGCACCCGCAGACAGCACTAATTCTGCAGATCCGTCCAGAGCTCTTCCTGTCCGAGCTGCGGAGGAACTACTGTGGGGATGAGGACACCAAGGTCTTCTCCACGGCCTGGAACACCCTCATGATTACGGTGAGCGGCCGGGGGGCACCCACCAGGCTGCCCAGGGATGTGAGGCACCCATGGGCCCTGCTGAGGCCCACCAGCCCTCAGCTCAGGGGCACCCTGAATGTGGGGACCAGGCTCATGGACCCCAGACAGACACCGAGCTCCCGCTTGGCTTTTCCCCCTCCCAGGATGCCCTCCCTCCGTCACCTCCCTGAGTGAAGGCCCATTGTGTGTCGACAGCATGTTGATGGCATTTCCCTTCCATTTCAGTTCTCGTGTTGTGGCGTTTTAGGGCCTGAGGACTTTGGGAATGGATCCCGGTTCCTGGAGCTGCACCCGGGGATGCCCTGGCCGCAGGCATGCTGCACCCGGGACGGGCTCCTGCAGGCAGGCGAGCTGCTGGGCTGGGAGCAGTGCCGGGAGAGGAGCCCTGGCTACATTCATGAGCAGGTAGAGCCACATGGGCACCCGCCCTGCCCTGCCATGTCCCTGGCCTCCCCAGCGCTTCCCTGACACGTGCTGATGGGACACCACCGTCCTCTGCCCCTGAGCAGGAGCCCGGTGCATTACCTGTGCTGTGGGTCTGCAGCCCAACAGCTCCCCAAATCTCTGGCTCATCCTGTCCCACCGTGGTGCTCTCCCACATATCCTGATCTCCCCCAGCCCCCTTGGTGACTCTCTAAAGCTCTGCAGCAGGCGAGAAGTGCCATGGAGTCCCTAAATCATCCTCCTCCACCCTAGGGCTGCTTCTCCACCATCGGCAGGACCTTGCTGAAGTACACCTCTGTCCCTGGGGCTTGCAGCTTGGCCGTGCTGGGCATCGAGGTACTGAGCGAGGGATGGGGCTGATGGGAATGGTACTGGTTATAACCCAGGACAGGGTGGGGAGCAGGTCACCCCACATGGGCTCTCTGCCAGGAGGGTAAGGGACAACGCTCTATGCCTGCAGAGGGACCGCAGATCTGCTCAGGCAGGACCCACCCAAGCCTCTAATTCCCAGCACCACAGCCATGAAGTGGGTGCACCTACAGTGAGGCTGTCTCTGGGGTATAAAGCTCTTGCCCAACTCTCCTGCTTGCTGGGAAAGAGCTGGATAAATGGAGGGATGGCTCCAGGACTGAGGGAGGGGGGGAAGGTTTATTTTGCTCCTGCAGCACAGGCCCGGGGCAGGGGGTTGCTGCTCAGCAGGCTCTCTGCAGAGCTCACAAGAGCTCAGAGGTGCCCCGAGCCACAGCTTTTACTGTGCAGCAAAAGGGCAGCTGGTGCGTGGTCCTGCGAGGGGCACAGCCATCACCCCCTGCCTTGATTAGAGCCAGAACAGATGCACAGCTGGGTCCTGTAGTCCTCATGCTGTCAGATTCCAGCTGGCGGCTGTCTCAAGGGGCTGGAGTGTTTGCAGGCTGCTCTTGCTCTGCAACAGGGAGATAACCTGTTCCCCCCCGCCCCGCCCCTCCTTTTTCTTCAGATCTTTGCCATGTTCTTTGCCTTTTGCCTTTATTACAATTTCGACTGAGCAGGACGCTAGGAGCAGGACGCCACGACCGCTCCGGGTGCAGCAGAGACAAGCCAAGTGCTTTGGAAACGGCAACAGGCCAGGACACTCCATTCTCTTGCACATCAGAACACGGCTCTTTAGTTTAGCACTGTAGTTACCTCCTCAGGCAGGCAGAAGCCTGGAGTCCTGCATCTACAGGACACAGGCTAACTTCCTCACAGACAAGCCTGCGGACTTACTAGAGAATTTCCAGAGTTTAACACTACAAAGTAGTTTAAATGCATCTTCTGCTTAGCATCTGCTTTCAGCTTGCTTTGATGCAGGGACAGCAAACTAGAAACTGCAATGGTTGATCCCATTCTCCTTCCTCCAAGAGAAGGCTGGAGATCAAAAGCTGAATTGGTATTTCCAATCTTGCTTTCTTCAGCATGACAAACCAGAAAGAAAACCCATATAAATTAAAGCTGTGTTTTATTTATAAGACAGAACTATTCACAAAAAGCTAGGAAACAGAAAAATGAAACCTGCTACTGCTACATAGCCATTAAGAGGTTGTTATACCTGTGCAAAGAGGAAAAAAAAAACAGTGAAAGCAAAGGGCACAGCCACAAAAACCACTTAAGAGTCTAGGCGAGATTTCTTCTCCTTCTTGATGATATTGCTCCCTTTTCTTTTCTGTGGGATAGATTCTTTGGTAGTACTTGTTTCACTTTGGTTTATTTCCTCTTCCAAAGCCTTGGAAGCCTGAGATAACAAGAAATAAAACTACTGGTTTTGAATAATTCAGTTTTACAAGCTATTAGCACTGTTGTGTATTCCTAGTGCTGTGTGGGTGTGTACACACCTTAGAACATCCTGCACTCCATGAAGATAAGAATGATTGTGCTTCCAGCATTTATGCAGTGACTCTTAATTATCCTGCTCCTGGAAATTTTGGGAAGGGGAAGTGAACGGCACATCCAGCTACAGTACTGGAGTCTTCACATGCAGAAGGAAAGTAGAGGGAGAATCTTGGCAGGAAAGGAGGATTACAGTTCTGCCTAGAAGTGCTAGATACATTTATGAGCCAGGTCTCTATGGGGTAAAGATCTCTTCACCTTGTGTCTTTCTAACAACCCACAGGAGTTAACTTGCAAATGTGCTTGGCAGAGTTGGAATAGTGAGCACCAGTCATGGAGCTTTCAGGTTAAAAAACAAAACAAAACAAAACAAAGCCTCACTTACAAGACACGATGTGCAAAACGTTCTGGAGTCCAAGCAACCTGCTTCTGCAAGAGCAACAATGTTCTGAAAGACAAAGTAGTTTGTAGCAAGTTTTTTCTTGCTTAAATGCAATTTATTTTTACGCCAATCTGTGAGATAGGTCAGGGTGCAAACGGAGACCAAAAAAAAAAAAAGGAAGTATGATAGCAGGAAGGCTGCACTCTGCTGGGACTTGGGAGACGACTAGTCAGTCTCCTAGGACTAGCTGAGCAAAAGGCACAATGACAGCAGAAAACTGAGTTTGGAAGGAACAGAGCTGAGGCAGAAGCAGGGCTGCAGAATCCCAGGGAAAGGGTTTTGTCAGACCTCAATCCCACTCATCCCTCATTCTTCTTGGGAGACACTGCAATTATCTGTGACTGAACAAATCATTTATTTGGAAGGAGCGAGACTTTGTCCTCCACGCAACCTTTCCCCTTCAGCTGTGGTTGCCCAAATAGTTATCAAAGTAGATTTTCCAAAGGAGACAGAAATCTTGCCTAGTTGGAGAGTCTGGGGAGCAGAAACACCATTTAGCCACCCAGTGGCCAAAGGCAGCAGCTCCACCTGCTGTTACAGCTTACAGGTAATTAGTTGCTGCAGCTCAGCTATTCCCAGCTTGCTGAATATTTGGCTGGCAACAGAAGGCAATGTTACTAGCCAGAACAGAGCTACCTTTGATCAAACGTCCCGAAAAGCTAATACAGGGAAGACGTTGTACAAGTGCCACCCTTCAAGTGCTATGAGAGCCCCAAGTAAGGAACCCTCCTAGCACAGGACAGAAACGAGACACTTCCCTCTCCTCCATCCACAGACTTCAGGACTGACATTTTCAGTCACTACGTCAGATATTACAAAGTGAATGCAATAATCTTAAGGATAATGAAATTAAATACACATCCAAGAACAGAACAGAAGGGAAGGAAGGAAAGAAAGCTGCTGAAGATGGCCTCAAAGTAATTGTAAGAGAAGCAAATTCAGGCAAGAAACTGTTCGCAAAGATTAAGCTATACTCAGCAGAGCAAGCATAGTGTTTCTTACCATCTTTTGCTGGCTTGCATACTTCTTAGTCCACTCTTTGGCATTTATCAAGAACAGTTGCTTGTTGTACTTGTACTCTGAGGACTAAACATTAATGAGCAAGACAAAGACAGAGACTTCGTTTAATACAAACATCACGCAGTGCAAGATATGGAGAAGCTGAGACTGAGGTCTGGCTGTAGGACTCCTAGAACTATACTCGAAACACTACAACCACATGACACAAAGCACTGATCCAGCTTTAAAAAAAAAAAAAAATCATTTTGCCTGTTTTAGTTTGCCTGGAGAATGCACACTGCTGTTTGGACTAGCAGGCTTGATGGCAAGACATTTCTGATCTCTTTTCCATGGCTGGCACAAACTCCCTATCAATGCCCTGGATACTTCAGGAGAAAGGCAGTCATGTGCCCAGGCCTAATCCAGATCAAAGCTGCTAGCGTGCCAATCCCAGGCGAGCTAAGTGGAAGCACAGCCTAGATCTAACATGCTGTTCCACCCCATTTTGTGCCCACAGCCACCGCAAGGGAAGAGAGGAGATCACATACTATGTCTGCCATGAGAGGGTCATCAGGGTTGGGCTCCGCCATCAGCAGCTGTATGGAGGTCAGCAGCGTGGAGATATTCAGGGAAGGCCTCCATGCACCCTTCACAGAAGCAGGGTGAGAAAAGCAGTTAAAAAGAAACCCGCACACAGGCTACCTAGAGAAACCTCAGGATTTACAGCATTTACCAGCCTCCACACACTACAACAGAGGTGGGAGCCACCTGTGGGAAGCAGAGCACAGTTAAACCCACATGGAAAACACCTGATCTATTCTCAACACCTAGGGTGCAGCCTCTCCAAGGAAGCCCAACTGACAACCACAGGTTGTGTCCTACACATCTGTACTGTGTCAGTATTGGGATATCCAGGCTGTTTTTTCAGAGGCCTCCTAAAACCTTTTGGCTCCAATCCTTAAAGCCTTGGAAGCTTACATGGAACAAGGTGCCTGTGTTCCAGTCTCTAAACAAAGGAGATGTCACACACAAACTTTATTCGTGTGTTCCTACGTACATAAGTCAGTAGCAGACAGACATTTAGTAAGGCTTTTACAGGCAAAAAGATAAGGAGTTAATTATCCTCTTCAGGCTCACTTACCCTTGCACAAGTAGCACTATCTTACCTTTGGTGGTAATTTAAGAACATCCAGGCAAATCCTTCCAGCGGAGTCAATGTTAGGATGATAGATAGGGGTCAGAAAGCGAATCTTTGGGGGCTCAAATGGGTATCTATAAAGGATAGAAAAAAAAAAAGGTTCTTTTTATATTTGTATTCCATTTGCCACATCACCCAAGTAATGCCATCATTTTCTTCTCCCAGCCATTTACTAACTGGTGTCCTTTCCCACAAGTTTTTGGAGAAAGCAATGCTATGCCTGACCACTCTGCCTTTGATGCTTTCAGCTGTCTCTGTCTAGCACTTTCTAGGTAGATAGCTCTCCACAAAGAGGCAAATGTGATAGGAGGTTTTCTACTCGTGACCGAGCTACTTTTCAGAAAGCTTTGAAATGATACAGTAAGCTAGAGATCTTATCAAAACATTTTTAGATTGTTAATCACACACCTTGGTGCTTCCAAAGTGAAATAAGCATATTAGCAAACTGAAATAAAAATTACATTCCATAGATGAAGGGCCTCACCTAAAGCTAATCAACACATTCTTTGTGAGGAGGCTTAAGGAAAGATCTAAGCACTAGTACTCTATCTCCAATAAGCTAATTCTGCTTTTTGGCATACTTCTATCAACCATCTTGCATGAGTTAACTTATATTTGAAGGAAAAACACTACTCTACTTCCTTGACTAGAGTAACTTCATGTCACTGCCCACTTACCTTTCAGGAACAAGTATTTCCAGGTTGAATATTCCCTTCTCATATGGCGTCTCTGCACTTCCTAAAATCTCTTTAAAAAACAATATTAAAACACAAGGATTACATTCAAAACACTTGAACTTGTCCAACAATTTCCACATAACACCCAGTTACGCAACTGTAACGCTGCTGAGATCCACCAAAAAAGCTGCCACCTTATCACGAAACCACTCTCAGCTCCATGTAGTCAAAACGGTAGCCTGACCTACAGAGGGTCCAAACAATATTTAATTATAAAAGCTAAATTAAAAGGAATGGGGAAGGACAAGATAAAAGAAAAATCAAGCAAGGATGGGATTGCCACATACAGTCTGCATTACTAGTGCTCAGCTGAGTTATGCTCTCTGCAAGCAAGTGAAAGCCTGGGAGAAGATGTGACATTTCACTAACTCCTGCTGGCTGAGCTTTTGTCTTCACACTGTGGCCAACTCTAGATATCTTCTCCCTGTTTGCTGCAACGCTTTAAAGCAAGTGCCAGTTTCAACTTTTGAAGGAGAGAAAGATCAGGTTCCAGTCTGCAAGTCATAATACAACAATAGCTAGAAGAAACAATAGAGAACAGAAGCTCAGCACCAACAGGTGGCATTTTGCATAAAGGTAGGAAAACAGTTAGCATAAGGAAGGGTAAAAACATCCAGTACTGCTTCTTTTCATGTTCCTTCTCAAACTCAGAGCCAGAATATGAACTGTTCCTAAGAGCCATAGGCTAAATTATATTAAAAGGAAAGCTAAAAAAGAGCCTAAGCATTTCCCAAGAACTCCACAACTCCATGCAGCCTATAAAGCTTATGCCCCCCCCCCAACAAATCCAGTCTAGCAGTAAATTCTAGCGCATCCCTTACTCAAAGGCCCCACCAGAAAGGTACATACGAGCTCGTAGATCATCTAGCTGGTTTTCATTTTGCCAGCAGGTAATGCCTGGAGGTGGCTCTGTGGTCAGGAGAGAGAGCTCCCTCTTCAGTCGCGATGCTCTTTGCATTGTGCTGAAATCACAAGAGACTGAATTTTATAGCTGGCAGCGCTGCTGCCCCTTCATGAACAGCATCTCGTATTGAGACGTTTTTAGCTACGGAGAATTAACTCAGATTTCAAATTTATCCACGCTTTAGCAGTTGCCTTAATGCGAATCCCAGACTCTCACCCCTCTGCGAGGCCGAGCCTGCTCCTAGTGCTCTTCCTGGCACTCAGCTGGAGGGGGGGAACCAAACCCCCCTTCCAAACCAGTCCCATCGCCCCAGGGCCCAGCTGAGCCTAACAGACCCTCCTAGTCCATGACTGCACTTGACACCCCGAGAGGGACTGTCCAGCCCTGGGGCGCCCCTCGCTCCCCGGGGGTGGGCGACGAATTATTGCCCACGGGGCACCCACCGTCCGGCCAGGGCCGACCACCCCCCTCGGCCCCCACC